CTGTATTCAGGAGAATTCTGACTTAATGCTCTTCAGCAGAAGGGCTTGTTAGTCAGCCCAGCCTACACACTTCCTGTCTCACCTTGGTCCCCAAAGGCCGTGTTGTTGGAAATGGTCCCCTGGCAGTCTGAAGACCGGTTTATAGCAGACCATGTGTGAATCTCATTGGCCATTGTACTTCATAAGAGCATCTGAGTTTCCTCATCTCTCTCAGAGCAACTGAGTGTCACAAAGCATTCATGCTTTAAAAACACACCAAATAAGGTTTAAAAAGGAAGAAGAAAAGAAGGAATTATTTTGCATCGTCTGGAGAATGGATACCATGCAATTAGGACATTTTTGGGATTTTGGTCCTTTAGAATTGGTCTAGGAGGGGGCAGTCATTTGCCTTCCCTGTGTAGAATGCTGCTGTCTCAAGGTCCTGTTAGGATCAGCCTGTGCAGTTTCGAGTGGTACACCAGCAGAAGGCCTGTCACTGTGTCCGTTATTGCTCGGAAGTAGGGAGTCAGGCTTTAGCGTCTCTCGCTCCCACTCCCATAGCCATGTTAGACTAGGGACACTGGGGAAGACTTTCATCTTGTGCCTTACTAGCATGTACATTTGGCTGCTGTGCAGAGCACCCTAGGATGGGATCTCATCTCTACCATTGCACTACTAGGGAAGGGTGGGTAATAATAGGTCAGTAATTATGCGAGGAACATGTGCGCATTGACTTTCATCTTTGCCACTTCTGAGAAATGTCACTACTGTTTGACCTTCTAAGATTTACAAATGTATGCCAACTGTGGTGGCAGTTATCTGTAATTCCCACAGTTTGGGAATCTGAGGCCGAAGGATTGCAAGTTCCAGGCTTACCTGGAGAACTTAGTGTGAGACCTTGTCTCAAGACAAAGCATGAAGAAAGGATGGGGAATGTAGCTCAGTACTAGTTCAGTCCTGGCACTGCCCCCTAAAAATTAATAAATGTGAAAGGAGGGTTAACAAGAAAATGAATCCACTAACATTGGCCTGAAAGTATTCATATAAGGAGACACAGTGACTCCAGGAAATTCTCACCTCTTTTCTCTGTCCCTGGGCTTATGCCTTCTTATGCTTTTGTGGCCTCTCGTCTCCAGTTTCTTGCCTGGGTAGATCCTTCCTTACTCTCCTCCGTTAATTGACCTATTGGAAGCATAATATTTTTAGAGACAAATAAGGGCTTAATTCTGTTCTTAACAAGCCTCTCAAGAATATTATCTCTTTTTCATCCTTTTAATAAGGAGTTGTTTCTGTGTATGTGTCAAATTAGGAATGAGCACCCTGCACTTTTTGAGGACTGAAACTGTAGCCCAGCCTCTTGGTGGCCACACACCTCACGTGGTGGGAGGGCATCCAGCGTGAACCTGGGAGCAATGGTAAATTGACCCTGAAGGACAGAAAGTGTCATGGCAAGGGCTAGAAGTGCTTACTATCACAAAACAGCGCATAGCAACCTAGAGAATGGAAGACTAAATATGTGGCACCATGTGCCATTGAAAGGAGTCGTAAAATTACACCCTGGCAGGTGAGAAAGTACTGATGGGTGGTGGTGGTAGGAAGTACTCCAGTGCAGATTGGTGGGGACTTAAGAGTTTCTGTGGTACCTGGTTCCCTTTTACAGGGGACCTGTGTGCCACAGTGGTGCCTGCACCTCTAGGCGGTTACCACGGCTTATGGGTGATGCTGTCTGAAATATCAAGGGTTACTGTATTTGTAACACATAATGGGAACTTTTATTTTTGGTCTTTTTGAGACAGGGTCTTGCTATGCAGTTCAGGCTGGCCTTGTGCTCATGTTGTAGCCCAGATTGGTCTTGAACTTGCTATGATCCTCCTGCCTCAGCCTCCCAAATGCTGGGATTACAGATGTGGACCACCACACCCGGCTTCATAATGGGAACTTTTTAAAAAATTGCAATAATATCACATAAAATCTATCATTTTAAGTTTATAATTCAGTGACTTTTAGCGTGTTTACATTGTTTTGCAACTACTGCTACTACCCAGTTCCAGAATATCATGATTACCCCTCAAAAGAGACCATGTTTTTTCAGCAGTCACTCTCTAGCCCCTATCCCACAAGAAACTGGAAGTGACTCCTCTACTGTCTGCTTCTAGGTCTCTTCCTATTCTGGATATTTCATATAAGTGGAGTTGTATGCTCTATGGCCTTTTATGCCTGGCTTCTTTGACTTAGCATATTTTTTTCAAGATTCATCTTGTTATTGCATGTGTCATATCAGTAAAGTCTTTCTTATAATGAAATAATACTATATTACATGAGTATTTTACATTTTTATCCATTTACGTGTTGGGCAATTGTAGTACTTTTGATTGTTATAAAGAATACCTTTATGAACATTTATGTTCAAGTTTTTGCAAAAATAGTTGTTTTTAATTATCTTGGTATACACATACCTAATAGTGAAATTGCTAGGTCTTGTTCTTTCGAACTCACGACCACACAGGCTTGGAACACAGGCACTTAACGCTGCTGAGCTAAATCCCTGGCCCTGGGGTCATGTCCTTTTTAAAGCACATCCATTGTCTTTTCCATAATGGCTGTACCATTTTTCCATTCTTACTGGAAATGTTATGAAGGTTCCAGTTTCTTCACACACTCACCAACATTTGTTATTTTCTCTTTTTGAAGATTATTATTATTTTATCCCTTTATGTATCTTCTTTGCATATATGGATGTGAATGGTTGGGTAGGGGGGTGGTTTGGTGGGCAGGTAGGTGGATGGATGTATAGTAGATGATAGGCGGCTGGGTGGATGGGTGGATGAATGGATGCATGGATGGAAGGAAGGCAGGCAGGCAGGACAGAAGGAGGGATGGATAAGTAGTAGAATCGGTAGACAGAGCAGTAGCTTGGTCTGCCCAGCTTTCCATTCCCTTAGGTGCCCTACAGTGATTGTATGAGGTGAGATGAACCTATGGCTTCCTTAGTCTGCTGTTTGTGCTTGCCTCCTGGTATCTTGCTATGCTGATTAATTTTAATATTTAAAGGGGTATAGTGTGCCCAGATCTTTTTCATATCTTCTATTCTGCCATCAGAGTCTGACCCTTGAGTAGCTGGATTGATTCAGCTGTGGTGTGGTCCCTCTTGTCTGGGGAGACAGCAGTCCCACAAGTGAAATAGTGCACAGAACATTTATCTTGGGGAAGCAAGACTTTTATTTTAACACTAAGCCCTTCTGTGTTTGCATTTAAAAATCATGCTTATATTTTACTTAAATAATAACCAATTTGAAATATCTATCTCCCAGTGTCACCTTTGAGAAGAAAGGAGGTATTACAAGGAAGAAGCCACTTGTGACTTTTACCTCTGGGTTTTGACACCATAGTTTGGCTTCCCACCTCTGCTGTTTCTCTTGTCTTTGTGCCATGCACATGACATGATGCACCTGGGCAGGCCTTCCTTCCATCACAGGGCAGCCTCACTCTCCAGGCCATAAAACTGCAGTGAAAAGTTCATGGTAATTCATTCAGGCATGGCTGGTTCTTTCTCCTGTAAGACTTGTCCTGACGCAAGAGAGCCTATGGGACCCAGCAAGAGGCCTCTGCACAGGGTCCTGCTCCCTTTGACTTAGTTTACCAATCAGGATTAAAGCAGCCAAGCTTCTCATGGCTCTTTAATCCAAGTTCTCTGTTTCTGTCATTTTGAAGGTTGTAAGCCCCTTTCTTTGTGCAAGTCTGTGGCTGCTTGAGTACGTTTCTACTGATATGGTGAGCTGATATGAACTCTACCTTTTGCATAAATGGATAGAGAAAGGGGAAGAGGGTTGACCAGGGACCCTTGTGTGGTTTTACCAGGCTTTTCTTGGACTTTTGTTGAGACGTGATTTGGACTGGTGGCTTTTGTTTGTATGAAAATGTTGTTATTTTACCTTTATTTCCTTTTTGAAGGATATTTTTGCTGTGTGTAGAGCTCTTTATCAGTCTTTATTTTTTCCAGTGTGAAGGTGATTGCCCCTCATCTTCAACCTCTGTCCCTTCTGATGAAACTGACTGAGCCTACCCCTGGCCCCAGGAGTAAGTCCTAGGCTTGTCCTTTGAAGGTGCTCTGCCTTCCACCTCACCAGCTGAGTTCAAAGTTTTCCCTTGCTTTTCTTTTATCATTTTACCAGCTATTCTGAGATGTGATTTATTCCTCACTTACCTTTTCCATTGTTTTCTGAGCCTGGGGCTTGGTGTTTTCATGAGTATTGCTTCAAATACTGGTTTTGATACATTGGGTATCTTCCATCTTTCTGGAACCCCAGTTAGAGCAAGATTTTAACACTAAGTAAGTCTGTTCTGTTCTCAGCTTTGTATAGCCCTTGTCTCTTTAAGACTTTCTTCCCATGCTACATGTATCTCTCACAGCCAATTCAGTATACTTTCTTTCTGTCCAAATAGTTTCTACCGAGCTGTCCTATAATTCATTACACCCCTTTCTGTATTCTCCAGTGGGCTATTCAACCAGCCCACCAATATATTTTCCTATTCCATAATTTCCATTAGAGTCTTTATCAGTTCTAGGTCTTCCTTTAAATTTTTTATCTTCTTATCTCTTCTCTTGACTACACTAGCTCCTCATTCCAATTCGCTTCCCAGGGACACTGCAGAGGTTGGGTGTGTGTTACAGTTGGTTTGACCCTTACTGAGGTTCTGCAGTTGCTGACTTTGCTTGTGCAGTGTGAACTTGTGGTATGAGGGTCACCTGGCGAGGGCCCTATGAAGGGGCATCTGTGATCTGGAAGAGCCTTCAGAGACCACCCTAGAGCATACCACACCACTCACATTCATTACACATGGTGACTCTGATTGACATGGCACACCCACTGGCTCTGAGAGGGAAATGACTCTGGAAAGTGAGTTCACTTCTGAATGTGAGGGAAAAACAGTGCTAGGAAGAGCTTAGCCAACCTCAGTTGCTTATTTTACCTTTACAAATATGAAGAATGAAAGCAGTAAGTACATTGAACAAATTTTATAGTATCCCTTTTACTAAGTACCAGTTAAATGGCCCAACAAAGGAGAAAACATTTGGCAGCATTTTCTCCTTAGTGATACACAAAATAGTGATATAGCTTATGGTCTCTGGTACCTTATACACTCTGAAAAAGCATCTACAAAGAAGTTAAAGTCACACTTTTAAAGGAGCAGAGTTGGGACAGTATGGAGCTCCACAAGTTGTAGAATAATACCAATAAAAGCTCATGTAGATCTTCCCAAAATTTTCTTTTGTGTTTCGTGGCCAATCCTGACTCAACTTCCATTTCCTTTCTTCTGCCCCAAGTGCCACTTTAGATTAATCTTCCTGGAGTACCATTGTGGTTCTTTTCCTGACCTGCTGAAAATAAGTAAAACAGGATCAAGTTCAACCTCCAACCCAGCCACTGCTCTAGTCTGGCAGTGTCCCCAGCTCTAGGCCACGCAGGGATGTGTTTTCCTGCCTCTTACCTCTCCATTTCTCCCCTTCTGCCTCCCCACCTATTCTCTGTGTTCTCTTGCTCATCTTCTGCACTCTTGTTTCTTGGTTGATCTACCACTCAGTGCTTACCCCCTTCATGTGTGTTAGCCCAGGGCCCACCCAGCAGGAGGAGTGGAGATGGTGTGTGGTCAGGTGTGGCCCACTTGGTCTGATGCTATGATTTAGAGATTGGAAGTGACCTGCTCTCATAGTCAGTACTGATCATTATTGGATTGGGGGGAGGTGGGAGTAATTCTGAGTTGCAACAGCAGATGTAACTGAGGGCACTCACAGCCCCTTTGTCCCAGTGAGAGCTGGAGGCCAGTAAACTCTCTCAGATCCTTAGCAGAACCACTGGAGCCTCAGCTTGCCCCATGCTCCTGACAAACCCCACTCATAGCTGCTGCTTCGTAGGTACACCCAGTTTTTGATTGAGGAGTTACCCAGTTGTAGACTGATTTGAGAACTGTGTTGCTGCCATGGTAGGACATACATTGTTGTGTGTTTTGTCCTCAGGAAGGCCTAAGAATTTCTATGGGGTCCTGTGTGTTTCTGGTCAAGTTCCTCTTTAGAAACCCTACTGCTGATTGCCCTTGTATTTTTTGATGGAGTTTAGAACGTTGCTTGAGCTGCTGTTGGTGTCACACACCAGTTGTATGTTAGCCTGAAGTTCTCTAGTTCCCCCAACTTCTTGTATTCTGTGGTTCTAGGGTGTTGGCTGTGATTGGTGGCATTATCGAGTACCTCAGCTTCCTTGGCCTGTGTTCTGTGCCTTCGAACTCACAGTCCCACACTACAGGACTTCAGTAACCCACAAGAGTGGAGGTGGACAGTAAGTCTGTTCTGTTCTCAGCTTTGTATAGCCCTTGTCTCTTTAAGTTTCTTAAGTTTGGGACATCCCTTTTCATATGCCATTCTACACACTTTTTCCAAGCAATTTTTTAGATGTCATTTACATGCAGTGAAATGCACAGATCTTAAGTATTTAGTTTGAAGAGTTTTGACAGGTTACTGTCACACTTCTGCTCAATCACCACAAAACAAGGTGGAGAAACAATTGATCCCCAGGAAGTTCCCGAGTTCCCCTTTCTCATCAGTTTCTTGTAGCTAGGAGCACCCATCTTCCACCTGCTGTCACTGTGGACTGGCTTTGCCTATTCCTTACCCTGCATTCTTTTATGGTTTGGCTTCTCTTGCATCGTACTTCTGAGCTCTCGCCATGTATTTGCCCATGTCAGTGGATCCTTCCTCATTGCTTCTGGATGTGTCCCATTTTGCAGGTGAACAGACTTTGTTTATCCATTCTCCTGTGGATACACATTCGGGTTAGTTTCAATTTTTGGCTGTGAGGAATAAAACTACCAGCATCATTCATGTAAAAACCTGTGTGGACATGTGTTTTGTTTTCTTTTTATTAAATTCCTGGGTTTGGGTACTCAGGTTATGGGTCACTATGTGTTTGTAATTGTATTTCGTAAGTAGCTCTTAATTGACAAAAATGACAAAAATCACCTATTTTGCTTTGTAAAGTCAAGATCCACTGGAAATCTTTTTACATTGTTCCTCATACCTTGGAGATGTAAAAACATAGGCATCAGGGACACTTACTTGTCTTTGGGTACGTTCTTAGATGATCAACATTATTTTCCCCTCAAAATCATACACATTCTTTAATGCAGGGGATGGGAAACAGAGGCCATGGTCATCTCTGTACATAGTGTGGGAGTGTGTTTGCAACTGTGAGTTCAGGAAGTAACTATATCGATTTCTTTTGCTCATTAAGGAATAGAAATGACTTGTGCCTTTGAAACCCCTTTAGGCCTCCCTGGTCACAGCCACCTCTATCCCTGAGGTGACCTGTGGCTGGGCCTTCCCTGGCTTTTAGTCAGTGTATGTGTGGTGGGGAGCTGTGATCACCTACTGTTGGAGTTCATCTAGCTGCTTTAGACTCCTCAGGTTCTCTGACTTCGCTGCTTCTGTGTGAGATTCCCTGGTGGCAACAGAGTGGAGTGACTGTATGGGCTGACTGTCATCCCAGACACCTAAGGAACGGGGCTCCATATGTCTGTGGTACACAGTGGTGGGCTCCTTTGAGCAAAGTCTGAGCATGGTGGCATCTGAAAAGCATAAGGCTCCCTATCCTACCTAGTCACCAACACGAGGAACCTCAGTGTACCCCAAATACCAGCAAGAACACGTAAGCTGTTTCTTTGTTTAAATAGCAGCAAAGAAGCTAAGGAAAAACTTGGTTTCCAGTACTGAACATTGACCCCGGGGACTCACACATGATAGAACTTAGCCACATCACCTGCCCTTGTTGTTTTTATTTCGAGACACAGTCTTGCTAAGTTGGCCAGGCCTGGCTCAAACTTGTGTTCTTTCTGCCTCAGCGTCCTGAGAAGCTCAGAGGACAGGCATGCACCATTGCACCTGCCTGAGCAAGTAAGTTTTATACCTTGTACTGGCTTTCTGCCCCAGGTACTGGGGCACCACCCAGGGGCTAGCGCCCCGCTACCTCTCCGTCCTACCTGTTCCTCCGTCCTCTTCTGCGCCTTTCTCCAACTATTCTGCTGTCTCTCCTCCAGCTCCCCCAAGAAGCTCTTAGTATGCACTAGAATCCTCAGCCGCAGAGTACTCATTAGTGTAGAGCGGTTCTGTAAAAGAGATGTGGCCGCTGGAAGCCAGTGCAATTAGAAAGTGAGGTGTTTATAATAATGCGGGTGTTAACTGCCGAGTGCCTGAGATGAGTGTGTAGGTTTAGGGTTAGCTTCAGAAGAACCTAGAACTTTTCTTATAGAAGTAAAATATACTTTTATAAATTTTGAGTCCAGAATACTGATATCCTTTTAAATGGCACTACTCCTCAAAGGAACAAAAAAATTTTTTTCCCTGAGCTGTGGAGACCTGCATTTTCCCCCTCCTTCTCCTTCTGTATTTCCCTATGTGTATCTTTTTTTTCTCTGTCGATAATGATGTTTGAAAAGAAGCTACTGAAATAGATGATATCTACTTTTTGCTATTATTGACCCAGAGCCCAGTGGCTCACTTTCTCTGTCTCTGATTTGGGTTTGGGCTTGTTCTGGGCTGCTTGTCATCTTAATTAAGAAACCTGCTGGCTGCTCCACATCAAAGGCCAGGAAGTTTCATAGGGAGCCACAGGAAGGCAGATGACTGGGCTGCCTAATTACTGGGGTACATCTTAACCATCTTGTTTAAAACGATACAGAATAGTAAAAGATGTAGGAAAAATCTTTGTAGCAAATACAGAAGAAGACGTATTGCTTGTCTGTTCACCCTTCCCACCCTTGGTTACCTTTCTGGCTTTGTCCCTGTGCAGTTTGTCCCATGACTGGAACCAGTGTGGAGAAGAGGGAGGACATGCTTCTTACTTCCAATAACCCTTTCGAGAGAGCTATCTTTTCTGTGTCTTTCAGTGTGAAATATTGAAAATCTTCCCATTTGATACTACCTTAAAAACCACCTTTCTCCGGAGTTGGTTGTGAAAATGAATTATATTTATTATTCTCTTTTTTCCCCCCTGCCAAATTGGAGAAGGCTGTTCCCTCCCATCTCTCCTGCCTATTGGAGACATAAAAAATGGAGATTACAAGACAGATGACTGATACTTTTGAGAAAAATTGAGGTCTCAGAGGTTTCATGAGCATTAGTTAGTGTTTAAGCAAGGCTGCCGTAGTGTGATCTTAGCCCAGGTCAAAGCGTAGGTGAGGCAGAAGAAAGTTGTTATCACCTGGTTCAGTGTACCAAAATAGTATAGATTTTTTTCCCCAAAAAAAGGTGGCATTCTGCTAGTTGCCACGTATATAAATATAAGAGCTACTTCCTCCAGGTAAAGAATCTCAAGTCTAATTGGGAAAACAGACACTCATTCCTATAACTATAACTCATTCACCAAATGTGTATCAAGATTATACTATGCTTCTGCCTTGGAGAAAAACCAGATGTGATCTGTGTCACCAAGAAACACAGTCTTTTGGGGTGACAGCAGAATAGTCGGAACGAGAGGAGCACAGTCCATTAGTGCAGACGACTGGAAGTCACTCAGAATACTGAGTGACTCCTGCACTCTGAGAGAAGATTGCACAGCCCAGCCTGGAACACGGGCCATCTGCTCAGCAGAGCATAGGGGCAGTGGGTGCCATTTTCTGAATGTACCCTCTCCTTCGGGCTGTGATTAATTGGGCAGGATTTCCCCACGACCCCAAGGAGGAAAGTGTTAGCAGCATCAAGGCCAACACCAAGAGAACCTGGTGCCCTCCCCAGATGCAGGATGATCCTCCAGTAGGACTCATTGTTTTCCCTGGTGTGTGAGAGGCAGCAAGGCCACAGCAAGCTGGACCTTACTGGTCCTGAAGAGGCTGGAGGGGAAGTAGCTGTGGGAGACTTCCTGTCTGCGCAGGGAGGGAAGGAACCAGTTGGAGGAGGTGCAGTGAGGCACACCAGGAAGGCCTAGACAGCCCTCAGGCTCCTGCGCACCCTCTGCCCCTCTGAACAATGCCTGGGTAGATATTAATGCGGACTGAGTTGCCCCTCACTGATAAGTGCATCACATGCTCATAGCGTTCTCAGAGTTTATTTCTCAACACTGTTGACTGTTGACCAGTGAACAAAGCTAATGTCACAATAGAATTGTTTATCTTCTCATTTTTCTGTGGGAAGGCAGAGTGACATTCAGATGGGAACCAGAATCATGGGGCTTCAGTGCCAGCGTATGTCATGGACGTCCTGATCCCCATGGAACCTTTAACCTGTTGTGTCCTTCCATGCCGGTGTCAAGTCCCAGGCTGTACAACAGTTCACTGTCTCCCTGGGCCTAGCACCTGGGGATATCTGAGGATCTACCCAATGCCATTATTTCTACTGGTGGCCAGCCTGTATAGTGTCTAGAATTTGATTTTCGCTTATATAAGCTGCAAGGGCCAGGTTGTCATTATCACCTAAATTCATAGGCAAGACATACTCATTAGAAGTCTTTGGGTTTTTTTGTTTTTTTTTTTTTTTTTTGGAAGGGGGTTGTTTTTCTTTCTTTTTTTTTAATTTTTATTTTTTATTTATTTTTATTTGTTTGTTTGTTTGTTTTTCTTTTTTACCTTCCCAGTACTGGAGATTATGCCCAGGCCCTTGCACAGGCTAAGGCAAATGCTGTACCCACTGAGCTATATTACCAGCTTTTATTTTGAGACAGGCTCTTGCTGAGATCTTTAGACTGGCTTCAAACTTGTAATCCTCTTCCCTGAGTTCCTCAAGTAGTTGGGATTACAGGAGTTTGCTGCCATGTCCAGCTCAGGAAACTTGGCAGGGAATGACCAGGAATATGTGTTCCTGGTCAGGCTGAGCTTGGTCATTCTTCCAACTGCTGCAGGAAGCACTTGTGCACAGCAAAATAGGTGATGACCAATATCAAGAAAGACAACACCCTTTTGTGTGCATATCTAGCTAGGCTAGCCTCTGCTTTATGCCTTATACTTTTGAAAATGAATAGTAGTAAGCCATAGAGGTTACTCGCGTTGTAATGATCTTTTTATATTGTCAGAGTTTATAAGGGGTTTCATAGAGCCCTCCTTCCCCTCATTTATTTTGAAAGAAAAAAACCTGAAAATACTGCTTCCTTTTTCCATTTTACATTTATCTTCTGTCTAGTTCCCTGGTAGTTGTTACCTCTCACCATTTACTTTTCTAGACCTTTTATTCATGTTGTGGAAGCATAGTAGCTACGTGAGGGTACGTGAGCGGAGTAGGTCCTGTTGCAGCCTGATCTGAGCTCAGGACTTCACTTGGGCCACGGGCTTGAAGATTCTCTTTCCCTTTAATCTCTGTGTTAGTCAGTTATTCCTCACTGTGACAGAATGACTGATAAAAACAACTTGAAGGAGGAAAGGTGTATTTTGGCTCAAAGGTTTCAGTCTGTGATCACTAGGGTCCATTGTTGTGGGCCCGATATAAGGCAGAAACATGGTGGAAGGGCCAATAAAACAAAGATGTGTACCAATTTGAAGTCAGGAAGCAGAGAAAGGGCCAGAGAAGGGGCCAGGCTCAACACATTGCACTGTGAATGCACCAGTATATTAGTCTGCTAATGAGATTGGTGCCTCCATGGTCCGGTCATCCTTTGAAAGCCCTACCTCTGAACCCAAGAGTCATTTTAGAACATCTTTGATCCAAGCCATAATAGTTTTGGAGAAGAATAACCATCTTAGATGTCTGATCTCACACCTGGTCTAGTGATTTGTAGGGAATAGTTCCATATGGCTAGAACAGAGAAGTCCATGGTTCTGGCAGTGCTATGTCTTGGCTGGCATCTGTCCAGCTGTGCCCAGTGGCTCCCTGTGGCCACATCCTGCTACTCTACTGTGCATGTGGCAGGTGTGTCTGTATAGCAGACCTGCAGCATGTGAGCTGCTTGTCCTGCTTGCTCACCCAGAGCCAGCTGGCCCATGGCCTGTGGCCTTTGGTTGTCCTACACTCTACCCCCTTATGTTTCCTAGGAAGCTAAGCTGCAGAACCCATGGTATTGTCTGTGGTCCCTTCTATGCAGCTGCCCCAGTGGTTTCTGCTGAATCCCGGTCCTCATCCTGTTGCATCCTAAAGTGCCCAGTTGTATGTTTCTCTCCTACCTGCCTCCTACCCCAGACCATTCCAGAAAGGGCAAGTGCCATGGTCCCTCTGGCATCCACCAGCCAGACTGTTCCCGCATACTGGCAGAACTGCTCCTTGGTCCGGCTACCCTTTGCCTTCCTCTGTCTTTGACACTTTCTCAATGAGTTGATCTTTTTCCTCTCAATCATTTTTCTGGGGGGTAGTTTGAGACAGGGTTTCACTGTGTATTTCAGGCTGGACTTCAACTTATTATGTAGTCCATCCAGGCTGGCCTCAAACTTGTGGTGATCCTCCTTATAGCTGTGCCCCACCACACCCTAAATTCCTCTCAGACCTGGCCTCTGTTGTATACCCAAGTTGTGTCTTTGTGACAGCCTACAACATCTTCCTGCAGATTCCTTCCTTGTATGTGAGTATGGCTTGCTCAGGGACACTGCCTGAGGTCTGGGGTCCAGGCTGTTTGGTTCCTATTTATGGTGAGGTGTTTTCCCAAGGCCACTTTCTTGTCACAACTACTTCATTTCGTACCATGGTGCATAAAACATCACCTTTGTGACGTTACCTACATGGTCAGCTAGACCTCCTTTCTGTGTCTGTGGAATTTGTTCTTCCTCTGCATCCTGCCCTTGATCCAACTCTGGGTCGGAACACTTAAAGACCCAGTTTCTTGCCTTTTCTGCCTGTAGATTTTCCTGCTTCTAGTCTTGAAACCTTTTCCACCAGGAACACAGCAGCAACGGTCAGTGTTGCCCCAGAGTGTGACGGTTTCCTGTACCTTGCTCTGTTTGATCCCTCTTCTCTAGTACTCAGCTTCCAACATAGGTTACAGCTTTTGTACTGATTATGTTTAGTGATTCTCCCATCTGACGGTGCCTCTAGGAGGCAGGAATTGTTATCTGTTTGCTTACAGATGTGTCCTTAGCTCCTGGGTGGGCCTGAAAGTTATCTATAATAACTAGTGCACATGCCATAGGGTGACGGGTGGCTTTGTCTGAAGCACAGCCTCCTAG